TTATGTCCCACATCTAGATGAAGTCTCCCAACCAAGTGTTCCACCTCAGTCGCTAGGTACTCACGATGAGCCTTTCTCCTTGGAGGAGCTGAACATGGTTCTTCACAATGTGCGAGACTCTGCTCCTGGCATGGATAGTATCCCATACTCTTTTATAGCCAATGCTAGCTCTAGTACAAAATCCTACTTCCTAAATATTTTGAATTTTTGCTATACCAATGGTTGGGTCCCGGATAAGTGGAAAGTTCAAATAATTATTCCCATTTTGAACCCTGGCAAACATGAAGGAGACCCAAATAGCTTCAGACCAGTTGCTTTATCATCAATTTTACCTAAATTACTTGAACACCTTATTAAAATCCGTCTTGAGTGGATTGTGGAATCAAGGAATCTACTACCTAATTATCAGTTTGGCTTCCGTAAAGGTTTTAGTACCATGGACAGTGTTGCGGTGTTGGTAACCGATATCCGCCTTTCTCTGTCGCAGGGTGCGTCCACAGTAACATCTTTTCTTGACATAACTGGGGCATATGACAATGTTCTACTACCCATTCTCAGGCAAAAACTGCACCAGCTGAGACTTCCGGTCAGAATGATCCATTGCATATGTGCAATGCTTGTGTCTCGAACTCTAGTCCTAAGGATCTTAGGAGAGGAGTTCGACCAGAGAAAGACGTGGAGGGGCTTGCCACAGGGCTCTGTACTGAGTCCTCTATTGTACAACCTGTACACTGCAGATATGGGCTCATATTTAAACAATGATTGCAGTATACTACAATACGCCGACGATCTGGCATTGTATGTAACCAACCATTCCATCCAAGATGCAGCCACATCGCTCACAACCTCCCTTAATTCTCTGTGGCGGTGGCTATCATCCCACGGCCTTAGCCTTTCTGCACAGAAGAGCGCAGTCGTTGTCTTTACCGGAAAGAAGACTCTGCCACAGATTGATATCAAAGTACAGCTGCAGGAAATTCCTCTCGTTAATAAATTTAAGTTCCTCGGGGTATATTTAGATTCTAAGTTGACTGGCGTTCACCACATTAACCATCTAGCCTCAAAATGTGAACGAACTATTCCAATTTTGAAGGCCCTGGCCGGAGTTTGCTGGGGAGCCCATCCATACACCATGAAGCTAGTGTACAATGCCTTAGTGCGCAGCATATTGGACTATGGTGTTTTCCTACTGGTTCCATGCAATAAAGGCGCATTAGCAACTCTGGATAGGATCCAATCCAGGTGTCTTAGCATTATTACTGGTTGCATGAAGTCATCCCCTATTAACGCATTACAGGCAATGCTCAGATCCACCTCTAAAATTAAGAAGACAATATTTTGCTTCATGCTTTGTTTTGAAATTTATTTGTAAATTGACCCACCCTCTTCTTCCAAAAATTACTGACTTAGACATAACTTGCAATAGCTCTAAGTATTGGGCACATAAATAAAATTCCATTGATTCTGCAATCCTTTCGCTACTACTTTCCCTTTACGAATTTAACTGTAAAATTTGACAAACTTCCTCTTTTTTCCTTTGAATACAGTATACTTAGTTTTAAGCCGAATGTGTTCTTCGATGTGGGAATTCCTAAGGGATCTGCCTCGGCTGTTTCGACCTTTAACGCTTATGTGGATGACCACTTGGTAGGGTTTGAGAGGTTTTTTACAGATGCATCCAAACTGTCAAGCGATAGTTACACTGGAGCTGCGGTGTACTACCAAAACTCCAGAATCATTTTGCAGTTTAAGTGTCCAGAAGAGTCTTCTGTATTTACGGGCGAGTGTGTCGCGGTATTGGAGGTATGCCTATATGTTGAATCGCACAACATCAATAAGGCTGCTATATTTTCTGATTCTCTAAGCTGCCTTAAAGCCCTGCTAAAAGATCCATTCCATAGCAAACTCCATAGCCCCTTGATCTTAGAAATCAAAAAAAGCCTCTTCAATTGCTCCAATAGTGACAAATTGGTCCAGTTGGTATGGGTTCCCAGCCATAGTGGCATTATGGGCAATGAGTGTGCAGACTCGTTAGCCAGAAGTACTGCTACATCCTCAATGGCAGATCAGAAACATATGGTTCACCATCACTATGACCTCCTAAGACTGCCTCAAAGAGAGTTGAGGACATCCTGGCAGGCGGAATGGAACAGGTCCGCACAATTTAAAGGCCGGTACTATTTTTCAGTACAGCCACGCATTCCTCCGAAGCCTTGGTTTTTTAATTTTAAAAAGGTGTCCAAACAAGTTGTCTCCGCCATATGTAGGCTTCGTATTGGCCACTGCAGCTCACCTGTCTTCTTGAACAAAATCCGGGTACGGGACTCGTCTCTATGCGAGTGTGGCCTGGATGAAGGCATCCTGGACCACATCTTCTTTAATTGTAGTAAAAATTATCCATCCTTAGACCTTTATTCATACCTAATTAAATTAAAAATTCCCATCCGTATTAACTTTGCATCCCTACTTACCTTTTCCTCCCCAAAACTTTTACAAGCCTTGATGTTTTTCATCCGCTGCAGTGGCATCAAACTTTGACCTGTGTACCTAATGTAATGTTGTGATGTTTATTTGTGTTTGTCTACTAATTATCTCTTTATATATTACATACATACTTTATTTATTCGTATTTGTCTGTTTGTTTCAGTGTACTAACCACAATCAAAAGACCCATATGCAGTCCACCTGCTAATTTTGGAAAAACTTAATGGTTGCAAATTCCTTTTTTCTTATGTATTTCTCTTAACCCACGTATTTCCATCGCAATTGACATTGGCAGAATTGTCGACATCGGCACAGTTTGCCATATAATAATAAGAAGAAGAAGAATCAGTAACTGATGACGTGAATAGCACTCTCTCTAAGGTTGTGAACTGATTCTATGTTAATAATTTACTTTTAAACGAGAATAAAACGAAATGTATTAGATTTTTACACCTAATTTTACGCAGGTAAAAACCAATGTTCTAATAAATGGAAGGGAGTTGAATCTTGTGGACACCACCAAGTTTTTGGGTTATTCACTGAGTATAACTTTAAAAATATTGATATCATAACAGTAGCATCTCAATACATATATGAAAATTTAGTGTAGGTATGTAGAGAAAAATAATCATTTATTCACAAAGTTTAGCGACATTCATAAAATAAACACTAGAAATTAAGATAAACTCGTGTTACCAACCACTAGACTACAAAAAGTAAGCAAGTCTTTTCGTTGTCAGGGTGTGCGATTTTACAATAAAGTGCCAAGCAATTTCCATTCCAAGTATTAACAAATTTAAGTCTTTAGTAAAGCTAAAACTGTGTGAAAAGGCTTACTACACTATTACAGATTATTTAGACTACAAATTTACTTGGGAGTGATGCTGCTCACTCCCACAATAACGTTCAAATCATTGTTGTTAAGTTTGAAAGTGATGGACATTTAATTATTTATTTTTTTGGTGTATTTCGTATTTCGTTTGTTTTCATTTGTTTTTTTTTTTTGAATTGTATAGTTTTTTTGTGTAAGTATCTAAATGTAAGTATAGTTTAGGCTTGTAATGTTAATTCATATTTTAGTAACTTTCTAGTGGTTTTGAGTGTTTCCACGGCCTACCCAAATGTACTGCTGGCGGTAGTGTCATGCTTCGGGTCGTTGATCTTGACCAATATCGGTTGGGCTATACGATGGCTGGAGCCTGTATGCCGTGTGTATGGACAGGCCCACTCAAAACTATGGTCGTTTCTTCAAAAGGCCTACCGAGACACTATACTGTACTCGCACAGTTTTATTTAACTTTGTATACTTTGTACAACGGACTGAAAAAAAGATACCTCCACACCAACACCTGTGTAGCACAAACAAAAATCACAGGTACGAGTATAGTCAAAAGTCGTACACTATCTTAACAGAGTTTTCAACTTAATGTCTTGTGTTGTTTGTTTGTTTGTTTCAGATTTCTTACCTTTGTTTATTATTTACAAATTTTTTAAAGCCATACTTAATTCTTATATCAAAACTTAGTGCATGTCGTAATTTCTCACTACCGATATTCTAATGATATGACAAAATGAGTAAGTCTCACATAATAAATGCATAATTATGATGTCTAAAATCTGATATTAGGCGGTGTGCGTGTTCGTTGGTCACACACTTCGGTTCCTTTTCACGAAAACCCTCCTATAAAATGTAGGAAAACGAGAGGAAAGATGTTACACATTAAAAATAGTCCGAATAGAAAAACACTAGAACCCTTCCAGAAATTTGGTTCATGGGAGAGCCATGCTTCGGCACATACGGACTGACTTGCCCGGAATGGAGGCTGTGCCTCAGAATACCAGTACTACACAATACTTCGTTGCGTTTCACCTGGTGAATGAGGTCACCAGAGACCAAGCAAGCCCTTCCCCCAAACCTCCAATCGGGGGGAGGGTAGGGCGCAAACGTACTTGAACCTCTAAAGTTGCGTGTGCTTATGGACGGCGGTAGTTACTTACCATCATAACACATTTGCTCGTTTGCTCCCTATTACAAGAAAGAATACCTTGTGTTATTTTTGTTGCACAAATGTTGGACACTACTATCTCCTTATTTCATATTCTTGACTACTCAATGTTAAAGTATACAACTTAAGACTTTTCAAATTATTTTGAAAAATATGATGATAGTCTAGAGATCACGGGCTCTATTAATTTTCTCTCTTGTTAGGCACTGTAATATTGGTTTATACATGCATGGTGTATAAACAATTATTGGTGTAACCTTTCGCAATAATAAAATAATTACTAATATCTTACGTAACAATGATACTGTTAGTAGTTTTGTTACGTGTTTAGTAGAATTACACATAAATAAAATGGTCACTTTAATTAAAACCTCCATTGAGAGGATAAAGGTCGTCTTCATGTGACTGTGACCACTATGTTACTCAAATCTGGGAATCACTAGGATTTATAGAGATAAGCAAAGCATTATCTCAATTTTAGTGAATTATTATATATAATTTTATAGCAAAATGAAGATTTGGACCTCAGAACACACTTTCAAGTAAGTTAATGTGACGCAACCTTGAATAATATCGTATGCCAATAAGAGTCAAGAGTATTTATCTTCATTAAATTACAGCCATCCGTGGGAGACGGTTGCACAAGCAGCATGGCGAAAATACCCAAATCCTATGAACCCTGCAGTAATTGGCACAGATGTAATCGAAAGAAAGGTTGTTGATGGAGTTTTAGTCACACATAGACTCGTCAGTTCAAAGTGGTTTTTTCCAAGATGGGCACAAGCAGTAAGTAATCGTTTATAAATATTAGTGGTGGTTTATTAAGGACAGGCCTTAATAAACCATGTATAAAATATTTTAAAATTTTACTTGTAGATTTGGATTTATTTTTGGTTCTTCCTGCGAGACTTTTCCCAAACTAGGTTGGGGTCGGCTTTAAGTCTACTACGATACGGCTGAACTACAACCCAAGTACTAGGCGTATAGGAGTTCTGTAGAAAGGCTATTGTCGAACTTGTTTAGTGCTCCAACTACCCGTAACGATTGCCACAGATGATGGTATGCAACCTGGACCAATGGCTAAACGTGCCATCCAAGGTACGAAGGGGTCTTAATTAGAGATGCCACGAATATTCAGCAACTATACACTGAATAGTAAATCACGAAAAATGCATATAAGATTACTCACAAAGATTTTTTTTTTACCAATAACTTATCATTATAATACATGAACATTTTTTTCAGCATTTGTTGATAATAAGGAAAAGCATGAGCTTTTCTTCATAAATTATACCTGCTTTGGAAAATACCTGCTCACTGTTGATATATACTGCTTCCAGGAGATGATAACTAAATCTTAGCATATTCTGTTAGGTTAGGATATTGTTTTGCATTTGCTGACCATTTTACTGATTAAGGTTGCAGAATATTCGTCTGCCGAATATTCAGTGCTTCGGCCAAGAGACTCGCCGAATATTTGGCGCTTCGGCCAATGTACTCGCCGAATATTCGGTATTCGGCCAAATCACTATTTGTGGCATCTCTAGTCTCAGTAGTTTAAAAATGGTCACCCATCCTTTGACTGACCTGGCTAGGACTGCTTAACTTTGCAATGTTAATGCAAAACTTAGCCACAAGCCTATTCAATATTTTTGGTTGATTTAAAAAGATATGTTTTTTGCAGCTTATAGGAACAGCAAAAATATGCTATGCTAGTGAAAGGTCAGAAGTAAATCCTAATGAACGAGAAATGACTTTAAAAACCACTAATTTGACATTTTGTCACTATATAGCTGTTGATGAAACAGTACGATATACACCAGACCCATCAGACACATCTAAAACTTTACTAAAACAGGAAGCAGTAGTCACAGTACAGGTATGATTTTTTTATTTGTATTATTAATTTCATTGGTTTCAATATTATTGGTATTAGGTAATTTTTATTAAGTATTAAAGCCTGGCAGCTTTGAAAATCTCTGATATTCTTCCTTACATAAAAATATAAATATATTTTTTTATTAACTTGTAACATCTGTATTTACAGGGCGTACCACTTAGTAACTACATGGAAGATTTACTAGCAAATAAAATATCATTAAATGCCGGTAAAGGACGACAGGCTATAGAATGGGTCATAGGAAAAATAGATGCAGAAATTAAAGAACTTGCTAGTACAGCATGTAAAAGCACAGATGAACTCTTATCACAGACAAAGAAATCTCTGGATGACATCACTTCAACAGCCAGGAGATCAATGGACGACATATCATCAAAAGCGAAAAGATCTCTTGATGATATAGAAAAATTCACTACTGCTAATGCAAACCAAAGGAGCTGAAAAGAGGATTGATTACTGTCGTGCCACAGAACACATCATGATCTGCACTAATTATTACATTACAACAAGTAGTTAATTTAAGTATTGATGTCACTTCTGAATAAATTTACTTCTAATAGTCTTCTTAATATACTTTAATAAGCAACCATATTGTGATAAACGGTACACTTATTCAAAGTGGATTCAGAAGTTATTCAATGTTAGTTTTTGCACATAAGAAGTAAGACTTATCTAATATAATACAGACTTATATAATCATTGCTATCAGAATTGATAAGTAATAAAATATTCAATGTGCAAAAACTTGTGTTGTAGATAAAACAGATACCTGTGCTATGTATTCACTTTTTAATTTATTATTTTTTTATTAAAAAATATTTTAAATAAAGTCATCATTGTATTCAAATTATCATTAATTTTATAGCTGTGAAACTATGTAAATTACTGTACATGTAGATATGATTTGGAATCACAAAACTATTGATTTAAAAGGATTGTAAATTTGTTATGGAGAATAAGATTCGTTAGAGTATATTGGTGGTAGAATCTTCTTAATCTATGTTGGAGCTGTCCATTAAGTGATTTTTAACCTCATTTAATATATTAATCATCATTGTAGTAAAATTTTATAAATTTATAACATACAACAATACTGAGGTTTGTTTTTGTGCATTCATTACAAAACTTGCATAGTGTTATGTCACAGCAGGGCACAGAGGTCATGCATACTTTCTATGTATGAAATTTCATTATCCTGTGTTATTTATGGATAGTTCCTAATATAAATGATTTTACGATTGACATGACATGTTTTTGTAATAGGTAATTTATTCCAGGTAAGATCTAGTTGGCAAGATTTTATTTATTATTCAATACCAAGAATCCATAATGCAGAGAAGACTGATACTCTTAATAAGTTCAACATTCATGATCTAATCATTGTAATAATATTTTAAAAAAAACTTATGATATTAATATTGTTGTTTCCTATATCAGCAGGAAACAACAATATTAAGATTGTAAGTTCACGAATTCTGGTAGATTTGTGTTCCAGTATTCTATGATAGCCCTCATTGCTTATCATAAGGATATTGATGAATGTGTGAGTAGAATACATGAAGTTTTAATATTTCAATGTGTAACGAATTTCATGGTTAATAAGTGGCGGTAACGTTATTAAAACATTTCTAATACAGCTAGGTATTGTATTTGTCAGACAATTAAAAGTAAAACCACCACTAAATTCCTGATACATGAATTAATACAATTTTATTTTAAATTATTTATATGAGGATAATACAGAAAACCGTAACTCTTGGTATTGAATTAAAGTTATGTTTCAGCATCCAGTTAGTGTTTTAATTGCATGGTTTTCAGAAATAAATTATTTCCATTAATTTTGTTTAAATATAAAATTATATGTGAAACGTGTACATAATTACACGTAAATCAGTAGACACTTAAAACAACTTTTAAAAAAATTGGGACAAGTGCGAGTCGGATTCGCCCACCGAGAGTTCCGTACTTTATAGGTACTTATTATGAATAGTTCAAGAATCGAGGCTCCCTGTTTTAGCGAGCTTTTCGCGAAAAAAAAAAAATCTTTGATTTACGTAAATCTGATAGTTATAGTGTAACTGAATCTTTTTAACCGACTTGAAAAACACAAAAAAGGAGGTTATCAATTCGTCTGTTTTTTTTGTATGTTATGCGAGATATCCGTCAACTGTGGACCGATTTTCAAAACTATTTTTGTAATCGAAAGGGTATGCTCCCGAGGTGCTCCCATTATCACCAAAACAGGATCTGATGATAGGATCCTAGAGAAATCGAGGGAAACCTTCGGATTTTACAGCCCCAACAGTTTTACCTTATTTCTCTAGATTTATAGGTAGTGCGCGTTTACTAGTCGTTGCTGTCATGTTGCTGAGCTGATGATGGAAGGATCCTTGACCTTTAGGAGTGAGAAAATAACTTTTTCAAAGATCTAATCAGGTAAGTATTAACCTTGTTTTATCCTTTCAAGATGTTTGTTAGATGTTAGTGTAGGGTTACAGAGATGTGTGCACAAGGCAGTAATAAATGAGGTTACAAAACATTTAGACAAAATAAATGATTGTTACGCAATTATTTGCATGTTTCTTACCTCAAAACTCTTTCATTTCTAAACCGATTTAAAAAAATCCTTTTTTAATTTAAAATTCGTTTTGCTATCGAAAGGGTATACTCCCGAGGTGGTTCATTACGTGTGCGTTACCCCAGCAAAATAATGTCAAAAATGGTCATTTAAACGTTATACATAATTAGTTGCCCCCCTTCTGTTATTGTTAGGCACATTTTTAAATTTGTTTCACTTATTTTTTTTAGTTATTTCAAAAAAACATTTCCTGCTGGGGTAACGTTTAAAACGTTACCGCAGCCAGACATTTTCTTTGTTAATTGGAATATTGAAATAAATATTAGTTAAATAATTAGTTATCTGGACAGGTAAATGTTACAACTTATTTGGTATTTGTATTTTCTTCGGCTGCGAAGTTATTCGAGATCCTGCTGGCGTAACGTTTGTGGGTTTGGTGGATCTCTGAAACGGGTAAGCGGATTGTAACCATCTTTTGTACAGAACTTCTTAATGATTATTTAATTAATTATTTAACTATAAAATTATTATTATTATTATTATTGATTATTAATTATAAAATTATTTAATTAAGTATGAAAACACTTCAATACGTTCTAACACTTTGAATAAGACATCTAAAGACTTACTTTAAACGTTATTCTATTGCTTGTAACTGCCTTCAAATGTATACGTATTTTCGTAAGTATACTGAAAGTGACTAAAAAGTTATGATGAAATGTAGCTCTCCACGTTCACGATCACAATGTTTGCGGCCTTTTTTGGCCATCGATAAACCTGTGTGTGGATATATAAACTGAATGTAATAATTAACAAAAATTAGTTGTTTAGTTCAGTTGTCTACCTGTAAAATTTTAGCGTCGTACATATATTAATTTACAAGACAATTAAATCAAAGTCATTAGAAGGTGCTAGACCGTGGTAACCCGACCATGTTTAGGTGGTTACAAAAAAGCGATCACCTAGTACATTGTGCTGGCTTTTAAAATATGTAGGATATTATTTATAATAATAATAATATTATTTATTATTAATATTATTTATTTATTATTTGCAAGTTTAATACGGATATATAGGTACATAAGTGTTACAAAAAACTACATGTTTCTTAAATATTTTTATTTACAGGCAAAATAATAATAATAATAATATTCTACCACAATCACACAACGCCATCTAGTCCCAAACTAAGCAGAGCTTGTACTATGGGTACTAGACAAGTGATATAAATACAGATATACTTGTTTTTGTAAATACATACATATTATACATAGAAACACCCAGACCAAATCAAACATTAAATGTTCATGCACACAAATGCTTGACTTGAGCGGGAATCGAACCCGCGACCTTTGGAATAGCAGTCCGTTACACAAACCACTACGCCATTCGATCGTCAATGAATCATTTTAATTTTAATAAAAATAATAATTTTAATAAATTTTTAAAATATTCGTTAAACTTAAAAACAATCACAGATAAACATTGGAGGTTCTTTTGGATTACCTATATTTATGTGTTTATCAGCCACCGAAGTTCTGACTTTTAGCGCCTTTTCATGCTTTAATTGTTTAGCAATATTTCGTTTTCGTGCTGATGTAAGTTTATTTTTAAAAAAGGGATCGCGGACGTAGTCTTTCTTTTAAAAATTAATTATAGCCAAATAACCTCTAAAAAAAATTCAGTTAGGTATTGGAGATGTGTAAACAATAATAACCGCGCCACACTGAGTACAATTTCCATTGCATTTAGTAGTAGTCTAAGAGCCCGTGAACCCCAGACCTTCGTTATTTTATAAAAGCTGAAAGTTTGTCAGCGCATGCTCCCAACACAGGTAAGAACGATGGACCATTATGAAGTTTGGGTTATCGTGGCTTCGGCAGGTAAACGGTACTAAAGGTGTGTAAAATACCGATCTAAATTCATCAAATAATAAAGTGTGATTTTTTGGTATTACCTTCAGAATATTACTATACCTAAATCACGTCATTGCATGCCAGACACTTAACATCGTGGCAACCCCTTGCCAGACACCCTTAATGTTCATAAAATTATAATTCTATTTATGTTATAGTATAGAAGCTGATTTTTATATGTAATACTTAGGTAATAATTAGATGATGTTTCCTCATTAGCCAGACATTTTTGATAGTTCCAACCCCTTGCCAGACAAGCATGTAAATCTTGAGAAGACATGCAAATAAACTTTTTGGCACAGATTTATATAACTGATAACCTGTGTAAATTTTAAAAACATCTTAAGAAAAGACTACTACAACTATCTTAAATTGTTAAAAATTTAAATTTATTCTGTCAATGACAGGTTATAAAAATAAAAAACCAAATAAAATAACACTCAAAAATTTGATTAAAAATAGATTAATGACTTTACAAGTTATTATAAAGTATCATTTTCTTCGTCACTGTTACTCCATTCGATATCGTCGTCTTCTTCTTCGTCAGTTTCTGTAAAAATTTGAAAAAGTTAATGGGATTGAAAATATTAAAAATAATGTATAATGGTTTGAAGTAGTATTTATACCTGAGACAGTTTTCAGTGATTCTCTGACGAAATTTGGCAACTGATCACCTTCGAACCATTTAAAATGGTACTGATTATCTTCGAGAACCCAACCATTATTCTCGGGTTGATAAATTGTTGGAATTTGCTGATTTGCATTATTCCAAATGCTAGACACATAGTTGGCTCGCAGAAATTGTTGTAGCAGCTCGGATTTACACGGTGGCAGACTGCTAGCATCAAAATTTCGTAGTTTTTTACGGCTAAACGCTTCATTAATATCTGAGACCTGATATGTATTAATGAATAGTTGAAGCCGTGCTGCATCAACATCAGTTATCG